TCTCTCCTCCACAGAACTTACGATTCAGCTACATTGGCCTCCTGTTCCTCAAACACAGCGCTGTATCTCCTATCCCCATTCCTTTTTACTGGCTGCTCCCCAGGCTCTCCAGGATCCCCAGGAATGCTCTCCCAGCTGCAGAATCTTAGCATCCCTGACTTCCTTTGAGACCCAGCTCAAGTACAATCACTTCCAGGAGGCCTTCCTTGTCCCCATCAGCTGCTAATGCAATTTCTTCTACAGTTACCTTCTATCTACTCCGAATTTATTTTATATGATCTGACTAATGTGTATTATCTCCCCCATTAGGGCTGTTAGGTGGCAAAATGGATGGAGCTCCAGGCCTGGAGCCAGGAAGAAGAGTCTTCCTGGTTCAAATCTGGCCTCAGACACGTGCTAGCAATGTGACCCTGGGCAACTCACTTCACCCTGTTTGCCTCAGTTTCCTCATCTGTAAAATAAGCTGAAGAAGGAAATGGCAAACCACTCCAGTATCTCTGCAAAGAAAACCCCAAATGGGGTCAAGATGAGTTAGACACGCCTAAAAACTACTGAAGGACAACAAGTAAAAAAGTATCAAAGACCAGCCCGGAAGGAGAAAAGAAGTAACATAATAGTAACATAATAGAAATAAGTGAGAAGATATTCCCACCAGTTTGTCTAAGGGATTCAGGAGAGACTTACCTCCTTAAGGCACTACCTGGCCTTCTGGGGTCCCCCACCATGATGGATCAGGAGGAGGTGGTATTAATTTGCTCTGCCTTAGATTTCTGGGGCTGAGATCAGATACCTTTTCTCTTTCTGTCCCAGTCAGGCCAAGAACTAATAGTTAGGCTTGGGGCCCAGGGAGGGTGTCTTTAGGGGCTGTCTGAGAAGGCAGTGAGAAGTAGAAAATTTGTATTGGGGAGGTGAGAGAAATGGAATGATAATTCTGAGGGGCAAAAAACTTGTGTTTGACAGATTTTTAATAATAACTAGCATTTATACAGTGTTTTAAAATATGCAAAGTTCTTTACATATAATAGCTCATTTGAGCCTCAAAAACACCAGTGAGATTGGCACTAGGAGGATTCCTATCCTCATTTGAAGAGGCTGAGACAGAGGCTTTGAAAGTTTACAGTTACAAGGTAACTCTCTCACACACACGTACACACACACACACACACACACACACACACACACACACACACACACACACACA